TCAGGTCATGATCCCAGGGTCCTGGGATCGAGCCCCGCATCGGGCTCCCTGCTCCGCGGGAAGCCTGCTTCTCCCTCTCCCACTCTCCCTGCTTGCGTTCCCTCTCTCGCTGTGTCTCTCTCTGTCAAATAGATAAATAAAACCTTTAACTGTGGAGTCTCAGTTTCCTACAGCCCTCCAGTTCTCCTGGAGTTAAGCCCTGCTGATTTTCAAAGCTCCTGAAGTGAAGCACCACTGGTTTTTTAAAGCCAGATGTTACGAGGACTCCTCTTCCCAGTGCAGATCTCCACAGCTAGCAGGGTTTGAACCCCTCACTTCTGAGGGAAGATCTCTGTGCCTGTGATATCCTTCCCACTGGTGAGTCACTGTACCAGGGGTAGGAGTCCCCACCAGAACGTATCTTTGCCCCTCCTACCCCTCTCCATGTGGCTTTTTCTCTATATCTTTAGCTGTTCTATATACTTAGCTGTTCTGCTATTCTTCAGATCATTCTCAATGGAGTTGCTAGGTATATAGGTGCAGCCTTGGGAGCAGGTAAGCTCAGGATCCTCCTACTCCGCCATCTCAAACCACTCCCTAGGTTTATTTCTTATGAAAGGGATCTGCTATGATGAATCACCCCCAGTGCCCTAGGTTTAACTTAAATGTGGTGGGATACTCTTGTTCTCGTTTGTTTACATCATCTACCCTCTTACTTAACAGTTAGTCAAGAACATTACAGGGACCCCAAGCCTGGGAACCTTTGATTATGTATGAGGATACCAGTCAAATAACAAAATAGGAGTTTTTACTCCATGTCAGGTACCTCATTAGGCAGAAAAAAACAGAATCCTTGTCCTGATGGAAAGGACAGTTGAGAGAAGATAGGTTAAGTGTGATGAACATTGCAGAGCAGTCTGCAATGCTGGGAACCTGCACTGAGTCTTTGGCAAGTCAGGAGAGCGGGACCTAAGGAACTAATGTTTAAACTAAGGCCTGAAAAAGGGCGCCTGGATGGCTCAGTCGATTAAGCGTCTGCCTTCGGCCCAGGTCATGATCCCAGGGTCCTAGGACTGAGTCCCACTTCGGGCTCCTTACTCAGCGGGGAGCCTGCTTCTCCCTCTCCCTCTGCCTGCCTGCCTGTCTACCTACTTGTTATCTCTCTCTCTGTCAAATAAATAAAATCTTAAAACAAAAAAAACAAAAAAAACCAAAACCAAAAAACTAAGGCCTGAAGGATGAGGAGGGAAAGAGAAGGAAGATGCTGATTCATCGAGTACATACTGTATGCTAAGCCACTTGATCATTTCATTTTGTCCTGACAACAACCCTTTAAGATAGGTATATTGTCCCCATTTTTCAGATGAGAAAACTGAGGCTCAAAAAGCTGAAGAGCCCTATTCAAGGTCACCCAGTTAACATGTGGCAGAATGAGGACTTAAACTCCAGTCAGCATGATTTAAAAGCCAATCTAATTAAAAGGCTGTTGTGATAGTCATGGCCAGAAAAGATGACAGCATCAGTGGATATGGAGAGAAGTGGATGTGAGGGCTCAAGAGGGACAACTGCAAATAGAATTGATCGGACTTAGTAAGTGGTATTGAGATAAAGAAGGAGGAATCAATCAAAGATGACTCCCGGTTTCTGTCTTGATCAACTAGGTAAATAGTGACCCACCCAGGTGGATCATTTACCAAGATGGAGAAAAGGGAGAAGCAAGTTTAGAGGGAAAGAATCATTCATCTAAATTTGATACATTCTACTTCAGTTAAAAAAATTGGTTGATTAAATGGAAACAAAACAGGGAGAGTTCCATGCCTAGAAACTCCCCCTCTTCATGCCTCCTCAATCCCAGTGTTCTCTATACCCATTCATCACCCCTTCCTTCTGATGTCCTAAGGCACGGCACCCTGATTCTTTTCTGATCCTTGGTCCCTCTGATATCCAAACTCCAAGCAGATCATGACCAAGGACTGCCAAAAGAATGCTGTTTTTCAATTGCACTACTGGGTATTTACCCCAAATATACAAAAGTAGGGATCCGAAGGGGTACGTGCACCCCGATGTTTATAGCAGCAATGTCCACAATAGCCAAACTGTGGAAAGAGCCAAGATGTCCATCGACAGATGAATGGATAAAGAAGATGTGGTATATATATATACAATGGAATATTATGCAGCCATCAAAAGGAATGAGATCTTGCCATTTGCAACGACGTGGATGGAACTGGAGGGTATTATGTTGAGTGAAATAAGTCAAACAGAGAAAGACATGTATCATATGATCTCACTGATATGAGGAATTCTTAATCGCAGGAAACAAACTGAGTGTTGTTGGAGTGGGGGGTGGGGTGGGAGGGATGGGGTGACTGGGTGATAGACACTGGGGAGGGTATGTGCTCTGGTAAGCGCTGTGAATTGTGCAAGACTGTTGAATCTCAGATCTGTACCTCTGAAACAAATAATGCAATATATGTTAAGAAAAAAAAAAGAAGAAGGTAGCGGGAGGGGAAGAATGAAGCGGGGGAAATCGGAGGGGTGGACGAACCATGAGAGACGATGGACTCTGAAAAACAAACTGAGGGTTCTAGAGGGGAGGGGGGTGGGAGGATGGGTTGGCCTGGTGGTGGGTATTGAGGAGGGCACGTTCTGCATGGAGCACTGGGTGTTATGCACAAACAATGAATCATGGAACACTTCATCTAGAACTAATGATGTAATGCATGGGGATTAACATAAGAATAAAAAAAAAATTGGGCAAAAGAATGCTGTTTTTGGCCACACCACTCACTCTCACAGAAGTGGCCCTATGACTGCCATGTGCTTTCACCTGATCTTTCTGACACTTTCTTCTCTACTGAGGTTTTGCCAGGGAGGAGCTGCTCATGTGGCTGAGCTCCTTCAGGCAAAGCCCCTTCATCATCCTAGCACTCAAACCATTCTGTGTGAGCAGCCTCTGCCTCCCCATGCTCAGAAGGGCCCTGCCCCTGCTTTAATGGTCTTCTGTTGCAAGCTTGAAATTCCTACTGTATTTAGTGAGGGGCCCACATCTTCATTTTGTACTGGGTCCCACAGATTATGCAGCTGCTTCTATCTGTACATTTGCATCATAATGATGGGAGACAGGGAGTGGCATCCTTTCCCATCTGTGGGAATGAGCCTCATTTCCAACTAGGAAGACCCACTGCTTTAAGTCAGAGGGAGATAAAGCAAAAAAAAAAAAAAGAGAGAGAGAGAGACCTCACTTCCTTTGTTTCTATGAAATGCAGTTTTATGTGCAGTTTTATGTTTCTTCCTGGGTAATAACTTAGGAGGGAACCCTGGGACTAGAATGCAGAAATAACAAATTATGGGCTATTAAGTGTGGTTAATTAATTCTTTATAGCTTAGGTAGAGAGGCATGGCTGAATTCCTCTGGCATACTCAGTTACAGGTAGGGACATGGGTCTGCTTAAATACAACTTAGGGTCGGTCCTTCAGGAGGTAGAGGGAAGAGCAACTGAGTAATCCCAGCATGGCTTTTGAAGCTGAAACCTCCAGCAAGGCCTCCCGACCAGTCAGTGTATGTTCTCTCACAAGCCTAATCACTCAGTGATTAGGGACCCTTTACCTGAGATCTCAGCTCTCCGAGTATGGAGGTGGCCCATGTGCTATCTGTGCCCCCTACAGCCTCTGGGTTGCAACTCATACTTGTGCCCCGGAAGTCTCCAAGTTGGTTTCATCTGCCACTCAGGCTCCAAACAGCTGCAAATCCTTTCTCACTTCAGTAAACACCTATTAAAAAAAAAAAAAAATTGAACCAAAAAAATGTTGCTTAGATTCCTTGCTAAATAGGATGCAGAAATGCTCTGCTGCCTATTATCAGAGCTCTTTGCATCGTGATGAGCTAATGCATGAAGCACTATGACCACTGAGTGCAGGTCTTCCAGTGTCACTTACTTAGAGTAGTAATATCAAAGACTCAATAGGCATAGCACACAGAAAATATAATCTGCCCCCAGATTCCTTGTTCCATAGCCAACATCAATTCAAATGGTTGTCAAAGGCTTTTAGAATGTACTAGGTCATCCCATTTATTCTCCATTGAACTGGTCATATAACTGCTGTCCTGCTCAGGAAGCTTAGTTGACATCCTTGATTGACAAAAAGCTTGAATTCCTTAGTCTGGTATCTGCATGCTTCCCATTCTGACATCAGCTGGGCTTTCCAGCTCTATCTCCCCAGAGCCTGCATCCCAGCCACACCAAATTATTCTTTACTCCACATACTTTCTCCCTTTTATTCTTCTTATCTACCTCTTCTCCCTCAACTTTTACATTCCTATTTATTGAGTGCCTATCCTTGCTAGGTCTGGGGAATACAAGAGGAGGAAAGCAGACCCAGTCCCTAGGCTCGGGACCTTATAGTCTAGCGAATCCATGAGTTATGCAAACCTTCACGGCAAAGTGTAAGAAGGGCTATGGAGGAAAGGAAAGGAGGCTCCAACTGCCCACATCAGGGGTTTGATCTAGTCTGGGCATCAGGAAAGCTTCCCTGAGGAGTGTGATTTTTTATTTTTTGAAAGATTTTATTTATTTATTAGAGAGCACGTGCGTGCGAGTGCCTGTGCACACTCGAACAGGAGGAGGGGCAGAGGGAGAGAGAGAATCCCTGAGTGCAGAGCCCAAAACGGGGCTTGATCTCTCAACCCTGAGATCATGACCTGAGCTAAGATCAAGAGTCAGAGGCTTAACCAACTGAGCCACCCAGGCACCCCTTGAGGAGTGTGATTTCTGTGACAAGAAACAGAGGTGGTAACTGGGCACCAACTAGCAGCCAGGGAAGGCTGTTGGGAGGCCAGGCTCTAGGCCAGGCTAGCAAGGGCAGGGGCCCTGGAAGCAAGGCCATTTTGGGGGAGGCACTGAAAGACCAGAGAGGCTGGAGTGCAGAGGGCAAGAGGAGATGTAAGTTCAGGTCAGGATAAGCTGAGTCTGAACTTAAAGAACGTGGAGTTGATCCCTAGAGCCATGGGAAGTCTTTGAAGGATTTTCAGTAGTAATATCAGAGTTTGTGTTTTTTTTAAGTAGGCTCTATGCCCAACATGGGGCTTGAACTTTCAACCCTGAGATCAAGAGTTGCATGCTCTACCAACTGAGCCAGCCAGGTGCCCCATCAGAGTTGTTTTTAAGAGGCTTCTGGAAGAGGTGCAGGGAACTTGTTGGGGAATCAGATGAGAAGGGAGGAACAGTGCAATAAAGTATTTGGGGGGCTGCCTGGGTGGCTCAGTCGGTTAAGCAACTGCCTTTGGCTCAGGGAACAATCCCAGGATCCTGGGATCAAGCCCCATGTCGGGCTCTCTGCTCAGCGGGAGCCTGCTTCTCCCTCTCCCCGCCGCTCTCTGCCGCTCCCCCTGCTCTGTGTCAAATAAATAAATAAAATCTTAAAAAAAACAAAAAACAAAGTGTTTGGGTCATAGAGAGGGGATAAGCCAGATCTCTGTCCTGCACAGTGGGAAGGACAGCGGTCATCTAGTGAGGGTCTGTGTGTCCTGGGGAAGTCTGGGGGCTCGTTTTTTGAAGGCTCTCCAAATGTGCTTAGAGGGCTGTCTGGGGTGGAAGTGAATGTGTGACAGTCGAGGCAGAGTGATGGAACTGGAACAGAGGATGGGAAGGAGTTTGCCCAGACAGGAAGAATAGGAGGCCAAGGACTAACCTAAAGACCAGGGAGAAAAAATGGAATTGGCAAAGAGGGTCAAAAAAGAAAGAATGAGGATATGGTGCCAAAAGAACACGGAAGAGAGTATGTCAGAAAGCACAGCCACAAAGGGCAAGTGAGCCCCTCAAAGAAAAGGGGAAAGGAATGGCATAAAGAAAGAAGAGTATATTCGAAGTCCAGAAGGCAGAGCACAGGCAGTCCCTGGAGCTGGAGCTTCAGGGGCAGGTGGGACGGGAAGGAGGCTGGGGGAGAGGTGGCAGAGGCCTGGAGGCCAGGGGAGCTGGATCAAGAGGGGCCTCAGTAAGGAGTTTGGACTCGATTCTGAGGGTCAGTAGAGGGTTGTTAAAGGTTTGATTTGGTTTGTCTTTTTAGTTAGAAACAAAATGCATGCTCCTTGTAAATAAAATAAGAACCACCCTCCACCAAAACAAACTCTGTAGCACCATAGAAATGTATATGTTAACAACTGAAAGTTCCTTCTGTTAAATCCCACTCCTCAGCTAGCACGTTGGTGTTATCATTCCAGACTTTCTGCCATTTACAAACTTCTTTAATTTTATAAAACAGGATCATGCTACATATAATTTTTGCAACTTCCCTTATGCAATCGGCAGTAATCATGGGCTTCCTTCTGGGTAGATATATGCAGATGTGCCCCACTGGTCTGACTGGCTACATAGTATAGCGTGGATATACCTTGGTTACTATTGCTGTGTAACAAATCGCCACAAAATTAGCAGGTTAAATGATAGAAGGTTGTTATCTCACAGTTCTTGTGGGTCAGGAGTCTGGCACAGAGTGACTGGTCCTCTGCTCAGGGTCTCCCAGGGCTGCTCTCTCATCTGAGACTCGGGGTCCTCTTCCAACCTCTTTCACATTGTTGGCAGAATTCACTTCCTTGCGGTTTCAGGACTAAAGTTCGTTTCCTTGCTGGCTGTCAACTGGGGCCACTCAGCTACTAGAGCTTTCTTTCATTCCTTACCATGTGATCCCCTCCATCTTCAAAGCCAGTAACAAATACACCTCAAGCTTCACGCTTCTTTTAGGAAGAGCTGAGTCCTTTTGAGGAGTCACCTGATTAGGTCAGGGCCACTCAGGATAATCTCTTTCTGAAGGTCAGCTGTGCCATCTGACAACCTAATCATGGGAATAGAATCCATCCCATCCCAAGTTTCACCCACACTCAAGGGTAGGGTCACTGAGGCTTCATCTTGGAATTCTGCCAACCACAATACCATACAATCGCCTTCCAATATATGGACAGGTAAATTGTGCCCCATGTTTTGCTTTCTGCAAACAACTATGATTAATTTTTACATATATTTTGTGTGCTTTGTAAATATTTTTGTTGGGTTTTAAAAAGTGACATTTCTGGGTTGAGCAAATAATCACACTATAATTTTTTTAAATATGCATAGATTTATGTAAAAGAAATAAGCCTTTGGGGCTTAATATGTAGCAGTCCTTTTTAAAATAAACTTTACTTGGGGGCGCCTGGGTGGCTCAGTCGTTAAGCATCTGCCTTCAGCTCAGGTCGTGATCCCAGGGTCCTGGGATCGAGCCCCACATCGGGCTCCCTGCACCGTCGGGGAAGCCTGCTTCTCCCTCTCCCCCTCCCCCTGCTTGTGTTCCCTCTCTCACTATGTCTCTCTCTGTCAAATAAATAAATGAAATCTTAAAAAAAAATAAAAAATAAAAAAACTTTACTTGGGAGTGCCTGGGTGGCTCAGTCGTTAAGCGTCTGCCTTCAGCTCAGGTCATGATCTCAGGGTCCTGGGATCCAGCCCCACACCAGGCTCCCTGCTCCGCGGAAGCCTGCTTCTCCCTCTCCCACTCCCCCTGCTTGTGTTCCTGCTCTTGCTATCTCTGTCAAATAAATAAATAAAATCTTTAAAAACAAACAAAAAACTTTACTTGGACTAATTTTCTTTTTTTAGGTATGATTTCTCATGATTTTTAAAAGTAATTTTTTATTTTAAAAAGTTTTAGATTTACAGAAAAAGTGAGCAGAAAGCACAGAGTTCCCATGTACCCCACACTTAGTTTCCCCTATTATTAACATCTTACATTACAAGGCAACATACTTAACTACAGTCCTAACTTTATTCAGATTTCCTTAGTTTTTCCCTAATGTTCTTTTTCTGTCCCAGGATCCCATGGAGAATAGCACCTAACATTTAGCCATCACATCTCTTTGGGCTCTTCTTGTTTCTTAGACTTTCCTTATTTTTGATGACCCTGACAGGTTTGAGGTACTAGCCAGGTATTTTGTAGAATGCCCCACAATTAGGATTTTTCTGATGTTTTTCTCATGCTTAGACTAGGGTTTTTAGGAGAAAGAGTACAGAAACAAAGTGCCATTCTCATCACAGCCACTCAAGGGTACATACTATCAACATTTCACTACTGATGTTGGCCTGGATCACCAGGCTGAGGTGGTGGTTGTCAAATTTCCCCACTGCAAAGTGACTCTTTTTTCCCCCTTTCCATACTCTCAATGTTGGAAGGAAGTCACTATGTGAAGCCCACACCTACAGAGCAGAAAGTCATGGTCTACCCCACTGAGAGCAAAGTATCTACATAAATTATGTAGAGTTCTGCAGAGGGGAGTTGTCTGTTCTCTTTTTATTTATTTACATGATCATTGATTAATATCAGTATGGACTGGGCGCCTGGGTGGCTCAGTTGGTTAAGCGACTGCCTTCGGCTCAGGTCATGATCCTGGAGTCCCTGGATCAAGTCCTGCATCAGGCTCCCTGCTCGGCAGGGAGTCTGCTTCTCCCTCTGACCCTCCCCCCTCTCATGTGCTCTCTCATTCTCTAATAGATAAAATCTTAAAAAAAAAAATCAGTATGGACTCATGCATATTTACTTTACACTTTGGATTATACTCCTTTAGGGTTGACACAAGGTTTATTTGCCTGCTTGGGTACTGTTAGGCTTTTGCACTAATGGATAATAATATTTCTACATGTGACAATCTCTAGTCTCTTTGACATTCTATGGTGTAGTATAAATTTTTGTTTTTTAGAAGATTTTTTATTTATTTATTTGGGAGAGACAGTATGAGCATGAGCTAGGGGAGGGTCAGCAGGAGAAGGAGAAGCAGACTCCCTGCTGAGCAGGGAGCCTGACCTGGGGCTTGATCTCAGGACCCTGGGATCATGACCTGAGTCGAAGGCAGATGCTTAACCAACTGAGCCACCCCAGTGCCCCAGTATAAATTTTTCTAATCCTGATAGCAAATTTAATTCCCTACTTTATTTTTATTGTTTAAATTGTTCCAGTTTTGGCCACTGGGAACTCTTCCAGTTGACTCCTGTGCCCTTTGGCATATGCCATCTTTGTGTTGTTTTTGTTGTTTTTGTTTGTTTCATGAGCACAATGTGGGGCTTGAACTCACAACCCTGACATCAAGACCCGAGCTAAGATCCAGAGTCAGAGGTTTAACTGACTGAGCCACTGAGTCACTCCTCCTTACTTTCTTCCTTACACAAGGCTCATCTTGTGTATTTCCTGTTTCAGTCCTAGAATCAGCTGTTTCTCCAAGGAGCCCTGGTTCCTTTTATTAGAGAACAGAATTAGAAACCAAGATCTAGGGGCCTCTGACTGGCTCAGTCAGTAGAGCATGTGACTCTTGGTCTCAGGGTTGGGCATAGAGTTTGCATAATAAAAAAATACATATTTTTTTTTTTTAAAGATTTTATTTATTATTTGAGAGAGAGAGAGAGAGAAACAGCATGAGAGGGGAGAGGGTCAGAGGGAGAAGCAGGCTCCCCGCTGAGCCGGGAGCCCGATGTGGGACT